CAGTGCTGCCCCTGCCCCAGCTCGGACTGCCTGGAGCTGCTGCCACCCCTGGCCGTGGCCGAGGACTTCTTCAGGAGGGACAGGAGCTGGGACATCTGCTACAGCTAATGGGGGCTGTGGTTTCACACATCCACTCTATCCAAATCAGATTAAATTGCCCATGAACTATGCAAAGTTGTGCTGCCTAACACAGCCCAGTTTATCCTTCACTACTCACACTTTTTTACACGATGCTGTCACTACATTGATCTAAGGTCAGGGGGGGTTGTTGGTGGTTTGGTGGGGTTTTTCCCTGTTTTTTTTCATTGTTGCTCTTTTTTAAAATAAATCTGAAGCTGCCTTATCAAACATTTGTTATTAAACCAGCTCTTTTTGATACAAATAAATCATTTGGTGAAATGCTGAAGCCTGCTCATTTTTCATGTGCTAAAGGTCAGTGCTTTTCTCTTCTGCTGCTGACCCTGCTCTCACAGAGGTGAGGATGAGGTTTTGAGCAGCCTATTCAGTGACACAAAAGCTCTCACTCACCTTTTCCAGCAGATAAAAGTTCCATATTTAATCCAGCTTTCCCCAGAGAACTCTGTGCATCACCCAGCTCTGAGCTGGATCTGCAGCTCCTCACCTCTGCTGCAGCTCAGGCTGCCCTGGTGGCATTTCCCAGGGCTTCTGGCAGATAAGGAAAATTGTTTGCCACACCACTCCTCAGAGGTAAAAGGTTTTCAGCATAATCGGCTGAACAGGAGCTAAATTATTCAATTTTTTTAAAGTAGATAATAGGAAAGTTTTAATACCTGAGGATTTCCAGCTTCTTGCATAAACCCAGAGCTTCCTAACGTTTTGCCTTGCCTCCTCTTGGTGGGGCAAAGTGGAAAGAAATAAAGAAGCATCTCTCCATATTAAATTCCACCAAAAAAGAGAAATAACTACACCTGTAAAGAGAAATATGAATTCTATCCATCTCTTTGCTCACCTCATCCAGACACTTGCACGCTGAACTGAAAACCTTTCCAGTTCCTTTACATTTTGTAAAGTACCAGGGCTTTTTTTTACCAAAAAAATGCTTTAAAAACATTCAAATAATATCTCCCCTTCTCCCCTGATTAATCTCAGCATTGGCCCAAGTGATAAATTCATGAGGTCACAGCAATATATATGTATATTATTATTCTATAAATTGTAAAGAGCTGTAACTTTGCAGCAGTTGAAGGTGTGATCACCCCTGTGCAGGGACACCCCACCAAGTGCCATTTCAGCAGTGCTGGCAGCTGCTCCAGCCCCTGAGGGATCTTTTGGGGCACTGAAGGGCTGAAATTCTGCCCCAGAGCTCACCCAGTGCCAGCTGCTCCTGCCTGCTGCCTCAGGAGCGGGCACAGCTCGAGCCACACATCAGAATCTCTTATCAGCAGCAAGAAAAAGCCAGAAAATGAGGCTGAAACAAGAAACTGGAGGCTTCTAGAGGAAATGGGGTGCCCACATCCTCCCCATGGCTTGGCAATGCTGGCCTGAGCTTAGCAGAGCCAGGGAGACGCTCTCAGGGATGAAAGGGCACCATGAAATGATAAAAAAGGGTTTAAGAACAGCCCATAACACATCTTAGAGCAGCAGCCTGTAGTGCTGGAGTCTGACAAGATATCTCTGACCTGCAGCTGAGGTGGACGTTTAATTCTGATAGGTTTTTAGTAGATTGCACACTTATCAATATCTGGTGGTGTGGATCCTCCCCAAGACTGCTCTGTGCAAGGGCTGTGCCCACCCTGATCCCACTGCTGGCACAGCCAGGTACCAACACCGGCACCAAAACCACCCTAAATCCCATCCTGATCCTTGGATGACGCCTGACCCAGGCCAAAAAACTCCTCCTCAGTGGAGGAGACCAAGATATTTCCAGCAGAATATTCCTACACACCAAAACCTGCGGGCTGCCCCAGCTTCCACCCCATCAGCAGCACCATTTCCATCCCTTGCAGCCTCTTCCTCCTTCCCTGCTGCTCCTTCTGCAGTGGTTTTGCAATCCCACCTGTGCCAGACTGGAAACTGGTTTGAGATGCTGTCAACAGCCCCAGGGACACACTCAGGACAAGTAGAAGCTTGCTGGCTGTTGACACAAGGCCTTGTTGACACAAGAAAGGGATAAAAAACACAACAGAGGAGCCATTCAAAGGTGGATGGTGCGTTTTCTGGCTGTGAGAAATGTATTATTTCCCTCTTTCATCCCTCCCAAAAGTAAAAAGGAGTTAAAGGAAACACTTAAACCAGAGCTGGCTCTGCTGCAAGGCTGGCATTTCATCAGTCCCTGCCCGGTGAAGCCATGACTGCCTCTATAAACACAAACCCGGGGATCATGTTGTGCTTACAAAGCCATGAATAACTCCAGAAGTCACTCACAGTTACAGAGAAAAGAAAAAGTTCTTATTTTCAGCTTCTCTGCCCGAGAATTTGATCTAAAAGGTTCCCTTGCCAACCGACTGACAGCTTTTCTATGGAGCCACTTCAGAGCGTTTGTTTGGTGATAACGAGCCTTTGTTATTAACAACTTATCCAAAGCCACAGGTAGGAAGAGATAAACTGTACAAATAAAGGGATATCACACACTGCCAGCAAGGCTGAGCTTTGAGAAATTACATTTCCCCTGAAAGAGCAATAAAAATTGGAGAGGTGAGCTCTGAACTGCTCAAATCAGTGAGACAAGTAGAGAAGACACTCAGGTTTGAGATTTAAAAGGGATTTTCTTCACAGCCAGGCCAGGAATTGGGAAAGGAAAAGGGAAAATTGTTTTACACCCAGGGGGAAGCAGCAGCTTCCAACAGCCTGGTGGCTCCAGTCCAAAGCCAACAGGAGCAGCTTGGGGATTGTGGCTGCTTTCAGAGGAGGCCTCTGCAGGCTGGGCTGGGGAAGCTGAGCACAGAGAGGAGGAATCCTGGGCTGCCATGGCTGCAAACCCACTGCAGACCTCACCCACCAGCTCCCAGCTGCCAGGAGGATGCTTTAATTCCTGCCCTAAAAGGACATTTTCCCTGATATTCTGGGGATGGGGATGGTTCCAGACTCCCATTGACACTGCTTTGTATGAAACTCCCAAGAGATGACACAATAATAAAGAGAAAAGCCACTCGAGGAAAGAAAGCTCCTGTATTTTCTCACTGCCAAAGGACTTCAGTCACCTCACAGACATTTCAAGGTGGTAAAAAGCTTTTTACATTTTCACATTGCTCACAGTTTGACAGTTCTGCTGGTTCCAGAAATTGATATTTTATCCATCATTGCCTTGACACACAGTACTACGTCCCTGATACTCTTCTCATTCCATTCAGGGCTCATTGTGACATCCTTCCAAGTGAGACAGCACTGGCTTCTGCTGGCCTGTGCTCAGATACATGAAAATTTATGCAAACACATGCAAATACACGTCTGCTTCTCTGTCAGCAGGACTGTAGGTACATGTGGTGAGAGGCAATGGCCCAAGAGCAGAGAGGAGGGCTGGAAAATCGAGATCTCTGCATTTCTTAAAAGCTTTTGTTCCTGTCAGTTGTTCAAACACTCCAGGCCTGCCAGTGCCTCAGGAAATCCCAGTGAGGCAGCAGCCAGTGGGTGCTCAAGGAAGTGGCTGCAGTGATTTAAGAGCTCTGCCCTTCATCTCCCTGCTCACCCTGCTGGGGAACAGCCTGAGCACACAGAGGAGCCAGCAAAATCCAAATTACAGCCCAGAGTGAGCCCCAGCCTCTGCCAAAACACGGCCTTGCAGAGCCACTGATTGCACAGCAATCCACAAATCATTTCACAGAAACGCTAAAAAGAATCTGCCAAACCCCCTGCACGCACCCACACGGGTCTGCTGCCCTAAGGGCTCTGGGAGACCCACAGGGAATCTCTGGCTCCACACAGGCGAGGTCAGCTCCCACCTGAGCTGAGGGGCTTCCAGAGCTGGAGACTGGGATGGGGTGGGATGGGATTGGATGGGATGGGATGGGATGGGGTGGGATTGGATGGGATTGCATTGTTTTGCATTGCAATGAATGGGATTGGATTGGATGGGGTGGGATGGGATTGGATTGGATTGGATTGCATTGCATTGGATTGGAGTGGATGGGATTGGAGTGGATGGGATTGCATTGGATTGGATTGGAGTGGATGGGATTGCATTGGATTGGATGGGATGGGATTGGATGGGATGGAATTGCACTGGATTGCATTGGATTGCATTGGATTGCATTGGATTGCATTGGATTGGATTGGATTGGATTGGAGTGGATGGGATTGCATTGGATTGGATGGGATGGGATTGGATGGGGTGGAATTGCATTGCATTGGATTGGATTGGATTGGATTGCATTGGATTGGATTGGAGTGGATGGGATTGCATTGGAAGTCTCCCCTCAGGAGAGGGTCTCTCCCTCAGCAGCCACACACAATGTTCTTGTTCCCACAGCAGCTGTTTCTTTCCCTGGGCTGACCCTGAGGAGCTGCTCCGGAGCCCTCCCAGAGTGCTGGCAATGGCAGTTCCAGCTTGCAGGACCCTCCCTGGGGCTCGTGCCTTTGGATGTCCATCCTGGGGTGAAATCCAGCCAGGGCTGGCTCAGCTTCTCCATGCAGGCTCTCCTCCCTCAGGATCCTGCATTCCCAGGGGAGCAGGGGCAGTGGGAGCTGCACACCCCAGAGGCTGCAGCATTTCCAGCAGTCCCTGTGCACAGCCCCAGCCAGAGGCACAGTTTGGGTGTCTCAGAGCAGCATTTCTCAACCTTTTATACCCAAACTGCCACCTTGTGCTCTGTCACCTCCGAGGGTTTCAAAGCTTGGCTGTGCTTTGAACTTATTCGGAATATTTCTGTAGCAGCTCCTTGATTTGCTCACCTCCTTGCTGGAGGTTTATTCACATTTTCTGTTACCAAAATTGAGTTTTCAACCATTTGAAAGCTCATCTTCTGCTGTCTGACGTGCTGCTCGTGGCCACAGGTTGAGAAAATTCTCAGCCCAGCCTGGCTGAAGCCTGCAGGAGCAGGGGTGTGCTGCAGAACCACCCTCACAGTTTTTATAGGAGGCAGAAGCTGGAGCTGAAGCTGTTCCATAAATTGCAGATAAATCAGGATCTGGCATTTCTGTGGCAGGAGTTGAATGCAGGTGTGACTTTCCCTTTCTTCAGCAAATTCCTGACCTGCCAAAAAATGTGGAATTTCAGGAAGCACCATCTGAGCCCCCAAAACCACTCACACACACAATTATTTACATGTACATGTGGACCTAAATAAACACCCAAATGCATCAGGAATATTTTTATATCCACAAGCACAAAACCCAGCCACCCCTGGAGGTGTGATAGGGGGGAGCAGCAGTGTGGATCCCATACCTGATCCCCAGCTTTTCCAGCAGGGGCCATGTGGATGGGTTGGTCATTGTCCAAATTCCTGATGCTGGGGTCTGCCCCGTGCTCCAGGAGCAGCTGGATCATTTCCTTCTGGTTCTTGTCCCCAGGCAAAGCAGCTGCCATGTGCAGGGCTGTGTTGCCATGGGCCTAAAGCAGGGAGAAGGGAAAAAAAAGAAGTAAAAAACCCCAGATAAACTCCCTGGTGAGCTGTGCCGTCTCCCAGAATCATCCTAGAAAGGGAGAGGTGAAATGAGAGAAGAATCCTCATGGGATTTGTCATCAGGAGCTGAGGGAGGATCTCTGCTCTGCTTCTCCCAGGCAGGAGCTTTGTGGATTCATATTATTTTCTTTGCTAGAGCACCACAAATTGAGGGGCATTGATGTTTTGGGTGTAGGTGATGAATAGCCCTGAAGCAGGAACATTCCCTGTCTACATAAATTCCCATAAATCATAACCTGGTTGTTCTGAAATCCCCCTTAAAACTGCTCTGAAATCACCCCTTAAATCACAGCCTCATGTATGATTGCCCTGAATTTTCCCTAAAACTATTCTAAAATCATTCCCTAAATCACAGCCTCGTGTATGATTGCACTGAAATCTGCCATTAAGAAATCACTCCCTAAATCACAGCCTCATGTGTGATTGCTCTGAAATTTTCCCCCTAAAACTGCTCTGAAGTCACCCCTTAAATCACAGCCTCATGTATGATTGCACTGAAATCCTAAAATTTCTCTGAAATCACCCTAAAACTTCTCTGAAATCACCCCTTAAATCACAGCCTCACGTATGATTGCCCTGAATTTTCCCTAAAACTATTCTAAAATCATTCCCTAAATCACAGCCTCATGTGTGATTGCTCTGAAATTTTCCCCCTAAAACTGCTCTGAAGTCACCCCTTAAATCACAGCATCATGTATGATTGCTCTGAATTTTCTCTAAAACTGCTCTGAAATCATTCCCTAAATCACAGCCTCCTGTATGATTGCACTGAAATCTGCCATTAAAAAATCACTTCCTAAATCACACCTTCATAGAAGCAGAGACCTGGGGAGTTACTGGAAAAAGAGAAGGCTGTAACAGGCATGGAAATATTTCACTGGGAAGCATTAAATTATAGCAATATAATATATCACACTGGATTATAGACACCAAACTGATCACACTGCTGCCCATCACACAAAGCTCCACAGCACCACTCCCGTTTGTGCTCCACACATTCCCCCTTTCCCAAAACTTCCAAGTGCCAGGAAGATTCCAATTCCCAGGGCCAGGATTGGCACAGCAGGGACAGAGCTGGCTGTGAAGCCAGGCAGGGATGGAGGGGCTGCAGAAGCTCTGGTGCCACCAGACCATGAAGAAATCTGTGCCCTGTCTGGTCAGGTATGACTGGTAACGGTTGGAAATGAGAAAAAGCTGATAAACAAAAGCACAAGGTGAGATATTTTTAGTCTGCAAGAGTCTCATTGAGGCAGCTGTTTGGTTTTTTACTCTCAGAAACAATCATGGGTTTGTCGTGGCTTTGGAATGGTTGGGCGCAAACTGCAGCCTGTGTTAATATTCCAGTTGTTCAAATGTGAAATGAAAAATGTGATTTTCGGCTCCTGTTAACCGCTGAGACATCAGGAAGAACTGAAGCAGAAAATAAAATTGCAGAAAATAAAATTGCAGAAAATGAACAGTTTTTCTCAGACAAAGCATGTTTTACAAGCAGATCCTTGTCAAGTTTATTATCCCAGAAAGTCAAGGGATGGTTACAAGCTCTTTACAGGATTTCTTGTTAAAATGGAAAGATCTGCACTTGACAGATTCCAAATCCAGGCATGGGCTAAGATAGATCTGACAAGGCCTGACCTTGAAGCCTCAGGCAGACTTTAACAGGTCTCATTTGAGACAAAGTGGGCTCCAGGAATCCTCCAGATGGAAAACACCTCCAAGGCTCCAATATTTTTCTCATTGTGAAAATGCCGTGGAGACAGATTTGGAGTGAGACAAGCACAAGCAGTGGGTGAGCCAAGGAAACCTAAACATGGCTGTTTCCTTGGCTTCTTCATGCTCTGAAGAGCTAAAATTCCAGGATATCTCCCTGCCCCAGACAGCTCAGCCATGAGGCTGAAGGCTCTGAGCGATCCTATCACAGGAGGAAGCTCTCCCAGGATTGTGATCAAGAGACAACAGAGACTCCCCTGGACAGGCTCTCACCTGCCTGAGGGTCTCTAAAGATACACAAGGAATGCAGTGAAAAGCCTTTCACTGGCCAGAACAGCCCCAGCTTGGCGCCATCACCCACAAACACAACCCAAAATAGGTTTTCTCCAGCCCAACAGAAATCGGGGGGAGGTTAAAAAAAGTGGAGCCGCCTTTTGTCTGCCTTGGTGAGCAATGGATTGACAGAGGAATTCAGTTCCCTCCTGAGGGACACAAACTCTGGGGAGCAAGG